GCATATTAGGTGGCTTCAGTGGAGCTGGTCGATTCAAGAGTTCTTTGAAGTGTTCTACCCACCTGTTTTGTTGCTCTTCAATATTGGTGATTACTTCGCCTTCCTTGCTTTTCACTGGCCGTTCTGGTTTGCGGCGATTTCCAGAGAGTTTCTTTGTCGTGTCATACAATTTTCTCATGTTTCCTTCTCTTGCAGCCTTTTCCGCCGTCGTTGCTAAATCTTCCACATATTTACGTTTGTCAGTTCCGATGCCCTCTTTACTTGTTTGTTTACTTCTGTGTATTCAGCTTGTGCCTTGGTTTTTTCTGCTCTTGTTCGACTGGTATTGATTGCTGCTTTCTTGTTTCTTCTTTCTTGAATCTTATCCAGTGTATCAACAGTGATCCATTCCTTGTGGTGGTGCTTCTTGTGACCCAGGACCTCATGACATGTTGAAGTGATTGCCTCTTTGATCCCCTTCCAGTTGCTCTCCACAGTAGTTCCTTCTCCATTGAGTAGATCATGAAAGGCCTGGAACTTGTTGCTGAGGACTATCTTGAATTTGTTGAGTTTGTTAGTATCCTGGAGAAAGGCCGTATTGAACTTTTGTGATACTGTCTGCCCTGTTGTCCAGTGCTTCTTGAGTTTCAATTTCATCTTGGCGATCAGCAAGTGATGATCTGATGCTATATCAGCTCCTCTCTTGGTTCTCACGTCCTCTATAGTCCTCCTGAACGTTTTGTTGATTCAAATATGGTCGATTTGGTTTTGTGTAGAGTGATCCAGTGAAGTCCATGTGGTTTTGTGTATGCGTTTATGTGGGAATATGGTGCCGCCTATGGCCAGCTTATTGAAGGCACATAGATTTGCAAATCTCTCACCATTTTCGTTTCTTTCTCCCAGTCCGTGTCGTCCCATGATGTCTTCATATCCAGTGTTGTCCGTTCCAACCTTGGCGTTGAAATCTCCCATCAGAATGGTCAGGTCCTTTGTTTGGCACTTCTCGACGATTGACTGCAGCCTATTGTAGAATTGATCTTTAGCGTCTTCATTGTAGTCGTTGGTAGGCGCATAGCATTGGATGATGTTCATTGAAATGCCCTCTTTCTTTGTTTTGAAGGAGGCTTTGATGATCCTTGGCCCATGAGATTCCCATCCTATAAGTGCCTTTTGTGCTTGTTTGGACAGCATCAATGCAACTCCTTGTGTATGTGGAGCATTTTCTCCTTCATGGACGGAGTATAACAGAAGCTCCCTTGAAGCTAGTCTTTGTTGTTTAACTTACGTCCATTGTGTTTCACTGATCCCAAGTACCTCTAGGTTGTATCTTCTCTGCAGCAATTTGGAAGGCTTTTCCGGTGTCCCACATTGTACGAACATTCCATGTACCTAAATAAATGGTTGCTCTGGTTGTCAGAAGAAGCATCGGCCTCGTAACTTTCGAAGGAATTCGGCGTTCATCATGAGGCGTCATAATTCTTCTAAATGAAGACCTTCTGACCCCAGGGCAGAGTTTAAAAGGTTTGAATAATTTTTTCTGGTTAGCGTTTTTTAGCGAGTTAGTTTTCTACGAAATGGGGACGCTTACCCCATGCCCAACCCTCCTTCATTTATCCGGGCTTGGGACCGGCAGTAGCCCCCGGACGGACTGCAGCCACGTCGATATTCTAGAAAGCCTAAAAATGTTCTGATCGGATCAGAACTGTTCGGCTTCCTTAGTGCCTCTGAAGGCTCTGTTGTAGGTCTCGGAGGACGACTACAAAAACACGCTATTGTGAGGTAAATTAGTTTCTAAAAAGCGCCTTAAAATTTATTTAATCCCACTTCATCGTTTTAATTGTTTCTGAAATGTTTTTGTTTATGGTATGCACAAAACTGACTACAGCAATCTCTCATTATAGGGCTACATTCTATCCACCTCCTCTATATCCCACGTAAACGTGCAATTTGAATATCCCCAACATTTTCCACCAAATCGATCTATGAACTCGGTTACTAACGTAGCGATTCAACGTAGTTAAGATCATTAATGTTGCGGGATAGGTTGATGAAATTCTCCTGGGAATCGTAAATGAGAGTCCCTGGCTTGAGTTTGAAGGCAAAGTCACTCTATATTTCCATTTAGTATGTCTAATATTTCTTCAGTCAGTAAGCCAAGTTTGATTTTACAAAGTTAGAAGCATCACGGTATTTTTGCTTGTCGCAATACTGTGGCCCAGGACACAAAGTACTATAACTTAGTCGTGAGAATACGTGACTCTGGTAGTTACATTATATTTGTGTTCTTCGTCTGTCAACATTACCAAGTTGTCGAATGCCGTTGTTTGATTTATGTCTCAAAGCCCTAGTGGAATGTTTTGAGACTTTGGGTATGGCAGCGTACGTACAAGAAAACTAACCCCATTTACAAGACCAACGATAACAATATGTGATCCTGACTGTATTTTTTAGCTGTGGCTGTGGTGTTAACACCAAGCTTTACTTACTCAGAGCATTCCTGAGACAACAACTTATTATTTTGAATATCACCATTTTTTCCGGTTTTCCAGTGTATTTGTTTTACTCAAACATTGAACCTTGTTCGTTTGTAATCCCTAAATTCGATCTACCGGTTTCCATCTTCATTGTTTGCTACTTCGGAAATTCCGTGAAAATCGAGAATTTGTGACGAATGCTGAATACTGTGTGTAAGATCCATTTTGAATGTTTTGTGTGTGAAAATCCCTTCATGTATACATTTGCACTTTGTTCCTATTGATTCCTTTAGTTGTACATTCTGTTAGTCTTTTTGATTTCCTTTGGGTTCCTAATATTTGTATTTTATGATAGTTTCTATTTTTCTTAAACCTTCACTAAGTTTCCGTGTTTCTTCCTGAACTGTATATAGGTTGTTTTATCTGATGCTTAGTCTTGGCGTTAGCCATATTGGTTTGTTCCTCCCTTTGATTGTGTTGCTTGTGTTGACTGGAATTGTGCATTTTTATTGTGAATTGAGACATTCTGAAAGAATTGGAAACACTATGTGTTATTAAGCAACCAAATATTATCTCTTGAACGAATCTGTTCTTGGTATATCCAGACAGGATAGAAGAGCATTTGTTTGTTGCGACTGGTAATTTTCCCGAATCCTTTATCAACTTCCTTATTTACTGTAATTTAGATTTAATTAATCGAACAATTATTGGTTGAGTAGCTGAGTGGTCGTATTTGTTTAGGTAATAATGTACATTTGAATTTATGAATTTTAGAACCGTCATTTAACCCAATCACTTTGTTTTGGTTACAACCGGGCGAGGGTGCTATTCTAGCCCACCCAGACAGCTATTCTTCAGTCCAAACCTTAGTTTGGATCTAACAATGTGACTGTAGATTGACATTTTATCTCGATGTGTCTTTCCTTTGATGGAGTCACTGCATAGGGAACACACATGAAATTTTCTATTGTCTGCCAGGAAATACAAAATTTCGAACACACGTCTGCCGTCACTTAAAATGACAACTACGATGATAACTGATGCTACGTGATCGTAATATTTGTTAAGTATTCCGAAGTCTAATGTGGACTTATATTTCCAAAACACAATCTCGAATCCTGTCAACCAGTTCCCTGGGTCATAAGTCTCAAGTAGATGAATCTGTGTTTTGTTCCATCGTATAGTGTAGTGGAAAAAGAGTAAAAACTGAGTAGAATAACATATTTTCAGCTTGGGGAAGTCCCTGAATGAAAGTATTTCTTGAACAACACTGATGCCTCTAAGGTCTATTTTGCATCTGTTAGCCTTAACAGAGCCTAATATATTTCACTTATCTAAAAAATCTTCACCGTTTTACGAGGGATCTTTGCATCTTCTGATTCAGCTGTGATCAGATTCCGTTAAATTAGATAGCCACATCTAGAATGCCAGTATATGTGATATTCATCTGTTTTTCAAAATTTAACGGATACCTTTTTGTTCTGAATTTTGATCTACTGTATCGGAATGAATGCTAGTTTATTCATAACCAATGTCAGTCTTCAAGAGTATGTTATATCGGTGGTTATCCACCTAAATGTTCAGTTTTCTGCATACAACATCCAACGTTGAGAATACTAAATAAGTCATACAGATATGGCAATCTTAGTGATACACTTTACAGCTGTATTTGTATTAATCGAGGAATCAACAGATATTTGAAATGGCCTGCTCTGTTTATCGATGCGTACATCGCGGTCATTCACATTGAGTTTGTAACTGGAGTTATGACGTCAAACTTTTCATATCCTCTCAACATAAAATCACAAGTAACTGGCCTTTCAAGTTGTATTTAACTGAACCTGATTCAAAAATACTAGAAAATCACTTCGACTAGTAGGATGAGTGTTATTCAGGCATCGTGAAACATAGATCCTTTTTGCGAAATCATCAGGCATGTTTGTTAAGTGGTGGTTATTAAGACTAACAAAGTATTCCCAGAATCTCTTGTAACATGTACATAAGGACATACCCTTTGCAAGCTCTTATACACTTCTTTTGATCGCTTAATAATTGGAATAGGTGTACCTGAGGAATGTCTCTTGCGTTTCATTACCGTCAGTATAAATTTTGTCACTGCTACCAGTATAATTGACTGTTGACAAGAGCGGAGAAGATATCGGTCAAGGTTCGCAAGACGTTTGCGTGAACAATGAGCTTCAGTGCTGTAGGAAAAACGCATACATTGGTATCCATGATATAGTAACCGCTACTTGACTATCACATTCGCTAAGATTAACGCAATTAAGAGGCTACATTACCATCGATAAACAGAAAAAGCGACTCAAAACCCCAAAGTTTTATCAAGAAGCCAACGCTGAGAAACTTATTGACTTATGCAAGCTCGTCACATAGACATTAGATATTGAAAGTTGGTTTAAAGTCATCACAGCTCATATCCAATTTTAATGAGCCGCATTCAAATCTGAAGGCCATTAGGTAGTAAAAATGATCAGAACGAGAAGCTAATTGTATAACGCTGCTTATTGTTGCACCTCAGTATCTGCAATGGAAAACACAGATGGCGAAATAATTATCATACTCTGTAAACTTGTTCATTTTCTTCAAGCTACGACCCAGTTCGTCATCATAAAATGGACCCCGGAGTTCATTAAAAATGCTTTGAAGTTTATTGCTGAGATAGAAAACGTAAGAAGTTCCTAAGAGTTATTGTTTCATAGGTTGTTAGCAGACTGGCAGATGACGAAAGTTTGGCAGTTCAACACTTCCTACAAGACATGAGTACTATGTTTCCTCATTTCGCATCATCTGCTACTTGCTTCAAACTTGAAAATGCAGTCGATTGGGCTATTGAGGTTAGTTAAATAAGTATGCGTTGAATAAACCTTATAGAATGATTAAGATATTTAGTAATTATAGTTCTCTGGGGCCAGATTACATGTATAAACGGACTATGATGACCTAATTGCCAAATGCTCTTTACCCATATTTGTATCGCAGTTATTGTAGAGAAAGACATGCTTATTTTCTGTTTACAAGTTAAATGGTCATATTCTCATCTGTGAGTTTGACACACTGCATTTTTTCTACCACACGATCAGGAGCAATAAGTCAAAAGTTCACTAAACATTGAGATAGACACAATACTGCAGTTAAAGTTTTGAAACAGGGTGGATTCTCAAAAGCTGCAAATCCACTAGTATGGGGTTATTTTACAAAGTTAAAAATACCTAACAGTCTGTAAGAGACAGTTATGTATAAGTGACATTACCTCTCTATTTGAACGTCTCTGAATCCTTCCTTGTGTCTTCGTTTGTTATAGATCCATCAGCACTTGAAGTTTCGTTACCTTGAAAAATATTGCACATCTGTCTACCGGAACCTAATTTGGATCTTCCGTTGAAAATAATGCTACTTGAAAAATGACATAGTGTTAATTAACTTTGTTGTTTTCGCGAATCTATTTAGAAAGAATCATATACTTTTAACTTTCAATAATCTAAAACCATTAACTAGATGATTAACCTATGAAACTAAGAAAACTGGGTCGGAATTATGTTGGTTCATTGAGTGCTATGTAATTTGTAGTGGTGCACCATTGTAGTTGAGATATAGTATACAAGTTACATAAAAGAAACATAACTAACTGGTTTGAAATGTCTCATATTTGAAATAATAGTGTACATCTTCATCTATTGAGGTCAGTTTTGATGGGTAATGCGCAGAGTTATTAAATGCCTACTGTTACCTTAGGAATTGCATTCGAGTGACTGGTCAATAAACATATAACTTATAGTACTTTGACTAAGTGTCATTTATGTGACATATCATGCCTATCCATAACTTTGTTTTGCTTTCCAGAGTCTTTGTAGCAATCCGTACCTTTCACAAACAAATCGAGACTGTATCTTTGAGTATTGCTTAGATACCAATCGCAAAGTATGTCTGCCAAGCCATGATGAAATATTTACCTAGTTACCCCAATTTAACAGGTACTATCCGGAACTACACTTTATACCGAATGACTTGTTGCTGATTATTGAATCCCGTTTATTTGGTTCACATATCTCTTCAATAAAGACATTTAGTGAGACAGAAAAATATTTAGATTCATGTTTCGCATTGGATAAAAGTTACACCATACATTTACTTATTCGTCTACTAGAACAGTCGGAACAATGTGACAAGCCAGATGATTTACGTACTATTATTATTCATTGGTTACTTGTTGCAATCCAAAAAAATCACGAGGCGTAAGTTCTTTCTGGCAGTACAGTTTTCTTTTATCCAAGGACTAAAGTCTGTGGTTGTGATTCATCCTAATATTTGAATAATAAGGTTTTCTGGTTACCAAACTTTACTTCATTGTATATAGTCCAAACACATGGCTAACAACATTTGTTCGTATATTGTGAAAGTTACTTTTAACTAGACAGACGAATATTTTTACCGGGCTGAATTCGTCTTCGAGGGGTTTGTGTACAGTCGAAACGATTACACGTGCTAAATCATCTTATTGTATTACGGATGTTTCGATAAAAAGTTTTAATTTTCCTTTTACATCGGTAGATCCTCTTTAATAGACAAATGTGTTATTAGCGTTTGCCAAGACCTCGAACCATCTGCTTATGTAAACCTGACTTTTGTTTGCGAGTAGAAGTCTTTATCAGCCCAGAAATACTCTGTTTTCTTTCTCGTTAGCTTTTTTACCCTATTAATTAAAATGCACTAAATCTTTTTGTCCGTTAGCTTTCATTTTCGCTTTTCCTTAACCTTAGCGACATTAATTTCTCATCATTTCTGTTGTGCGTCCTAAACTCCAAGGCTTATTATACGATCTTTGACACGTTTCTAATCATGAGTTTGTCGCTAATATTTGGATTCACTGGTTTTTATCGTAATAAGGCTCGATTTGATATTCATTTATCTTTTGAACTATTTTGGTTTATTGATGACTATTTTGTCGATTTCCAAATCTCAATTTCATCTTTTCTACTTAATGATAATTTTTTGTTTGGTTATTTTACACATACATCCGTTTTAAAGGTTATTTTTATCTTAAATTGATATCGACTATAAAACCATTGTGATATAAGGAGTACTGGACTGGATTATTTAGATACGTATGGTGATCTGAAAAACATGCCCCCAAATGCCCTGGTATGGCCGAGAGGAGTGGGCCCGCCCTCCCTCTCGAAATGCTCTCACACGGCCACGCGCACACAGCTTCTGCCAGGGAAGTCCAACTCACTGCCTTCTCGTGGCGGTGGTGTTGTTTACGAAAATGAGAGGACGAAAAGCGAGTGTCCGGCGCTTTAACCGGATCTCAAACCAATGGTGTACATGGGCTCCAGTATCCTGCAGGAACAAGTGGCGTATGAACCAATTGTTGGTCACCGGCTACCATGGGACTACATCTCCTCACAATGCTCCACTGCCTTGTGGGTTAGACCTTTAGGTCAAAGGCTCGGGGTGTTACTGGCTAAAAAAACATCTGCTTCGGTCTGGGCACCCGGCTAGTATCACAGCCCTCACACAAATATGATGAACTGTCGATAATTATGGAAAATACTTTTCTTGCTTCGATTAATAATCAAACGATTCACATTACTATTATTATTATTATTATTATTATTATTATTATTATTTACTACGTCACTTTTTCACTCTTTTATTCCCACTCTGTCTGACCTTGCTTTTCGACTTATACAGCAGCTCGCCTTTGGTGGAAATTCGGTTCTATCTAAACATTTTTGAGTCACTGTCTGGTTGGAAGTTGTATGCTACTACCGAATACGAATACTGAAGCAGTTTCTCTGAAACCACGTGCACTATTCAAACTGGCTGCCTTCAACGTTCGCACACTTATGCAAGTTGGACAACAGATAGGGCTGGCTATGTCTTTAGAAAGTCTTAATATCGATGTTCGCTGTCTATCCGAGACCCGTATTCAAGACTCTGGTGAAGTACTACAAATTCGCTCTTCATCTGTCACTTCAAAAAGCTTGTTTTATGTACGTTTATCCGGGGACCCTGTGGTATCTTCGTCTGGTCTTGCTGGCGTTGGTGTCGCACTAAGCGCTTGAGCTGAGGCAGCACTAATCGATTAGATCCCCATTAACAGTCGGTTATGTGCTGTTAGATTAGAAAGTTCCATCAAACTGATAAGAAATTAGTGTAAGAGACGATGTCTTTTCGTCATCTCCGCCTATACCCTGACAGATTGCAGCCCGAATGCAATCAAGGATGAGTTTTACCACCAGTTATCTGTTCTTCTCCAGAAAGTGCGTTCGACAGATATTGTAGTACTAGCCGGAGACTTGAATGCTCAGGTCGGGCGTTTAGGCACAAAAGAGAGTCGTTTAGGTGACCGATGGGGACGTGTTGGTCGCAGGACAGATAATGGGGACCGTCTACTGCAACTTTGCACAGACCACAACGTGTTTCTGGCTAGCACTAACGTTCGGCACAGTCATCACCGATGTGCCACCTGGCGTCCTCTCTCTGCATCTCAAGCCTGGACTCAGATTGATCACATCGCGATCAGCTACCGCTGGCGTGGTTGTGTACAAGACTGGCGCTCCTTTTGGAGTACCTATCTGAACTCTGATCATTCCTTTGTCTGCGCCAATCTTACCTTACTTTTCAATGGACAACGAAGTGACCGCGACCAAAGGATTGATATTAGCAAGCTGGTTGCAACTTCTGTTGCAAGTAAGTATCGTATCGAGCTAGCTTCTAGACTAGCTACCATTCCATTGGTTGCAATTGCATGACGCCATGAAAATGGCGAGTAAAATCAGTTGTGGGTTCGCGAAGCGACCCGCTTATAAGCACTGGGTTTCTTCTGGTTCCTTACAACTCATCGAAGCCCGTTGGTCTACTCCGGGTGACCGTGAGTTCGACCACAAACGAAGGTTGTTACGTAATGAAATTGGGCAAATCTTGCGTAAAGACTGAGAAACCTGGTGGTCAGAGCGTGGTAATGAGCTGGAAGCAGCAGCTGCATCTGGTAATTACCGGAAACTTTTCCATCTCATCCAAGCCACTGGCAGCATGAAGTCTGGTGTGAATGAAACAATCTGCGAGGATGACGGAACGCCAATCACTAACATCCATCAACGTCTTCGGCGATGGGCAGAGTTCTTCGAAGGCCAGTTCAACTGGCCTGCTGCTCCGGCAACATCGGTCAGACTGTCCTGCCCTCCATGACCGGTGACGACTGATCCACCAAGGGAGGCGGAAATCCGCAAGGAACCTCAACTCTTAAAGCGCTACAAATCACCTAACCCAGATGACTTACCTCTGGCTCTTTTTAAAGATAGTGGTAACTTTTTGACTAAGGAACTGACGACGTTGTTTACAAAGGTCTGGGAACTACAGAGTGTACCAACGTCGTGAAATGAGTCGATAGTTGTCCCTATCTTTAAAAAGGGTTCACGTCGTTTTCGTAACAACTACCGGAGTATAAGTCTACCTCCGGTTGCGTCCAAGCTGTTGGCTTCGTGATGTTAGTCTGGCTGTGAGGGCAGTTCTACCCTATACTTGTGGAGCCTAACCTCTCCGAGTTGAGGATGTTAGACGACTCTCTGTGTTTGATCATCGTTGTCTCCGAAGGATTGCTGACATCCAGTGTCAACACCATGTTAGTAATGCATAGGTTCGGCGTCGTGTGTTCGGGCACAGAGATGATAATTCAATTGGTGTCACCATCTTGAAACACCGACTTCGGTGGCTTGGACATGTTCTCCGAATGTCGTCCCAGAGGATTCCACGTCGTGCATTATTTGCCGACTCTGGGACTGGTTGGAAGAAGCGGAGAGGTGGTCAGTGCATGACATGGTGTCTTGGTGTGAAAGAAGGCTGCAAAGGACTGGCCTCTGTCGGTCCTTCACGACTCCCTGGTTGGGGTCTGAGAGATGGTGCAACACAGTGGCTAGAGACGTTATCAGATATGGCTCAGAATAGAAGCCAGTGGCGATCCCACTGTAACCTTATACTTTCTTCATAAAAAGTGGTTGTGTCTTCCTTAACTGAAAGGTCTCTTCGGACTGTGCGTTTCTGTTTCCCCCATTAATATTATTATTATTACTATTATTATTATTGTTACACTACCTTACACTAATCTGTTTGTTATTTTTCTTTTTTGTAACGCTAAGTGTTCGTATATAAGGCTTTCGAGATGTTAATAAGTTTCTTGGACACCCTCCTTCAATAGACAATTCTAGAGAACAGTCCTGATATCAAGAGACAACGGTTACTGGCCTGTAATATGTATGGCGATGCCATAACATTTGTCGGAGGATTATGATATGACCAGTGCATCTTCAACCAGAATAAAAGCCACCCTGCCACTTACAAATTAGTCTTCCAAGGATTTTAGATGATCTGCTAAGTATGACAGAAGCCAAAATTTTATGTAGTTAAAAGTAGACTTATCCCATAGGTGGTGTAAATCCCTTTTAAAGATAGGTATGACTATTGTCTCACTTCATGATTTTGGGACACTAATTCTCAGACGTTCGCAAATAACTCAGTCGATTACCTAATCAGAAGTTTGCCACCATCCTTAAAAAAAGCTGTAGGGAAGTCGTCTAGGTCTAAAGATTTGCGGTGTTCTAGAAGTTGTAGTTCCTTGTGGACAGTAAACCAAAGAAACATGTACCTATTTATATTCGGTAATTTTGTTGTTTGATTATATTTTCCTTGAAAAAGCTTGGACCAGATTGCCAGGTGAAACGTTAGATTTACTCCAAATTCTTTCGCTGAGATTTTACAAATACATTCCTCTTTAATATCAAACCTTTAATTGTTTTGGAATTAAAAACCAATTGCCTCAATAGTTCTTCGTGATCGTAATGTTATATCACGTGCATTATTTACTTAAACGTCATCTTTCAAGTTGTTTTGTGTATTACAATAGCAAATGACCAAAAGGGGTGTGATATAGATGATGGTTAGTGTTGACTCGCAATTATCGTGGCCCTAAAAGTATTTCATGCGCTAGGGGTCATAGCATACATTCATAAGAAGCTGTGTGAACATAAGTGTAGATATACTGCTTTACTATCATTTTTATTTTGGTTATTAGTTTCTTACTAATACTGTTATGTATGTTTCAAAAATACTGCGTGCTTAAATGTAATGGTGGACATTATCTGTGAATGATCCATGTGTTATCACATTGTTGAATAATAGTTCTAGCTATATCGTGGGAGTTTTAAGTTTTTACATAGAAGAATTACTAAACATTGAATAAGCTAGTTAATAAATTATTTTTAATTGTAGTGTAATCGTTTATCAGTTTCTTAAGTGCATATTTCAAGTATTTTACTGAATTGTTTGTAGCAGGTTTATACCAAACTTTCAGTATTCGGATAGTAAATTCAAACTTTATTCCAATCTAGAAAGTTATGTGATGTTATTCTTTGTGAATTACATACAAATCACTAACTCTTAGTTGATCGTTTATATATTTATGTTTATTTTACGCATTCTCAGGTATATATCTCTGGCTTCATACAATCCTGATCATTTACGTGATTTGGCCATACATATTCCTGATTTTGGAAGAGTCATATTAAAGCTGTTTGATGAAACTGAACATATACGAGTGAGCAAAACACGACCCACTTGTTCAATGTCTAAATGTGATTGTTTTTTTTTACTACTTTAACGTAGTTTTAATTCACTGTCATACATAACCTCCATTTTCCCAACAGTAAAACGTGGAATTTTCCGAACACATCGTGACTGAGTTAAGTAGTTGCCACATGTTTAGGCCGTATAAATGTCACGAACACATAGTGTAGTGTAATGAGGTAGCTCATTGGATTGTAGGGATAAGTATATACTGCCTATATATTAACTTAAAATTACACTATATCACGTTTTTCTAAATATCCAAAGTTGTTTTTATTGGATTTTAGCCGTATTGCTTCTAAATTCGTTATTCGTTAGGATCCTAGCCCTCAATTTCGATGTCTAAGTAATACGACAGTGTATCAGCCAGTCAGTTAACAACATAGAACTTTGTACGTACGTACATCAGTTCGAGTTGCCATACCACATTAGCACAGAGATGCAGTTGTCGATCCAAATCCCGTAGTGGTAGAGGTAGTACAAGTATAACCAGTAATCGGAAAGATTAGGGTTTGAAGTTGTTATTCAAGTAGTATGATCCAATGAAATAAATTTGGAAAGAGAAAGAAAAGGGACACAAAGAACTATTTCATCTGCATATTCTAAGTCAAAATGTGAATCTCCCGGTAGAAGTTCAACCCCTGGAAATTTAGGTGAGGAAAGTATTATCTCTAAAAGCACGTCAACGACAAAGTTAAACAAAAATGGAGAGAGTGGACAGCCCTGACGATCACCACTTGAGGAAATCAATTCTGATGACAGTTCGCCATAAGCTCTCACTCGACCAATTGTGCTCTAATAGAGAGCCTTTACAAGGTTAATTTACTTCTTTGGTACTCCTTTCAGTGACAAACACTGCCATAGAACCTCACGATCAACAGAGTCAAATTCATCCTTAAGGTTGAGAAATACTACGATTGGGAGATGTCTGAATGTGTGTCTATGTTCTAGGACCTGACGTAGTGTGAATATCTGGTCTATGCAACCACGTCCAGGTCGAAAAGCAGCCTGATTTCCTCTAGTCTGCTCTTCACGAGCTTTAGTTAGGCGTCGAATATTATTGTGCTAAAAATTCTATATTGTACCAAAAAGATAATATTGAATAAAGCCATTAATAATAATAATAAATAATAATAAATTGAAGCTAATATCTTAGACACTATATTAGTCAAACTGATTCCTCTGTGATTGCCACAAGAGGACTTTTGTCCTCTCTTATGGACTGGCACAATCAGTGATTGAGATCAGTCAGATGGGATTACGTCAAGTTCCCGAACTCTACCTAAAACTTCAGTTAATCTCACTGCTAATACTGGACCACCATCCTTAAAAATCTCAGGAGTAAACCTGTCAGGGCCTGCTGCTCTCCCTCGCTCCAGATTTCCTATGGCTTTTTCAACTTCATAAAGAGTCGGAGGACCTACACTAACTTGCCATTCAGGTTGACTGGAGATCGTGGGAAACCGAAGTGTGGCTGAAGGCCAGTTAAACTGATCCCTAAAGTGTTCTGCCCATCGATCCAATCTCCTGGACTGAGAATGTATAATATGTCCATCTTTCTGTAAGATTGTTTCGCTAACAGTCGGTTTCCTTGACAAGTCTGAACAGTTGTCTCTTGTTACTTATTGCCGCTGCCTTTTCCATCTCTCTTGCTTTCGCTACCCATCACTGTTCACTATCATTGCGTAAGCTTCTTATCAGCTTGTGCTTAGGCTGACTCCGATCTTCGTTATGTTCAGATCCAGATGGGATGAGTTATCGAGCATCTATCAGTGAGATAGATGCTGTTGAGATCCAGTGTTTCTCCCTAACCTTGTGGTTTACCGTACTAGCAGATATCACTGCTGTTTCCACAGCTTTTCGGATGTCATTCCATGTTGCCTCGGGGTGGGCGTCACATAAATGGCTGCCTAACTGTTTTTCTAGTCGTTCCTGAAATATATTTTTATCTTGGCTATCATTAAGTAGAACCCTAAAAGGTTTCCTTGCAGTGTCTTTCCTACGTCCAGTAAGACACAGACAAATAAGCGCTCGCGTATAATTTTCTTCAAACTAGACTTTGGATAGTGCATCACGCTAAACAATTTCACCACTCACAGTAGATATATATATATATATAATCCGTAGTATGTAGTTGTGTACTTTTGTCGTAGGGAAAACAATATACCGTATGCCTCTCCTAAACATTTCGAGATTATTATTTCTAAGGAATGTTAGAATCAATCTCGGTCATTCAGCTATGTACAAAATTGGTCTTCACTTATATATGCCCATTGTTCATTTTTTCATTTGTATTTTGTATATTCAATTAACAAAATAAAATTCGCCTCATTTTCTTCACTTTTTGAATCTGAAAAATAGTTCGAAAAAGTTGGGTCAGAGGAAAATAATCGGTGCATACTGATAATGAACTTATTAATTAATCTATTTAAACGAATTATTTTCGTTGATCATTTAAATCCCCTCCTGTTATCGCAAATTAACCGATTAGCAAAAAAGAACACTTCTGCAGCAGAATTTTGGAATTCGGTTGCGTGTGCTATAAATATGTCTTAAAATAATGTTAAATAAAAATGATACATATTAATGTGATTGTTGTTTTGTAAAACTTTTGTGGTTACTATGTCTTCCTGTTTGTGTTAATAGCTTTGTAAATTGGCCTTAATTATACTATCCATGGAAGAATTCCTCAAACTATTTAGCCGATGCCTTTGAGGCAGCTATTATTTTGAAAGGTTTTCACAGTATCCAGATTATTTCTGTTTAACTGATGTAATGTCAGATAATTGCTTAATGCAAATTGTCACTTATACTTATTACTATGCCTTAATGATGGAATGTGCAAATTAAAGGGATACTTCGCAACTGGAGTAATGATGTAGCGGTCAAAGGGATCAACTTTCAGACATAATCTCGCGGGCTCAATCTTTTCCTCACCTGATTTAGTTAGGAAGGCCGGGTATTATCACTAACTCGGACAAAATGTTCGGTTGATAGACGATTATATCAACTTATACTCGGTTATTGAGTTACATCCACTTGATTTTCATGAGGCATCTCACGGGGTACTTCCACTATGTATTACCAGTCTACATTAACTTTAGGAACAGAAAAACAGTTCCGAAGTTGTTTGAAAACTGTTGCGCCTATTACTCCCAGTGGAGCATATGTCGCCGACCAGCCTTCTTCAACCCACTCTATTCTGGGCCTTCCTTCCTAGTTCTATTCAAATTTTGTCCATTCTTCTCATGTCTGTATCCATTTCTTGGCCCAATTCGTTCTTTGGTTTTGGGGATTCTAGTTGAGGGCTTGCCTTGTGACGCAGTTGGGTGCTTTCCCCATTATGTGTCCTATCCACTTCCAGCGCTTCTTCCTTCACTGGGGTCTGGTTTGTTCTCCCACAGTAGGTTGTTGTTGATGGTGTCTGGCCAACGGATCCGAAGTATTTTGTTTAGACAATTGTTAATGAACACTTGTATCTTCGTAGATCTCCAAGCTTCCGCCCCATACAGTAGAACTGTCTTGACATTTGTATTGAAAATTCTGACTTTGGTGTTGGTTGACAGTTGTTTTGAGTTCTAGATGTTCTTCAGTTGTAGATATGCTGCTCTTGCTTTGCCGATCCGCACCTTCACATCTGCATCAGATCCACTGCGCACATCAATGGTGCTGCCCAGATAAATAGCTCTGCAAAATAAATTTTCAATCCTACTGGTATATTCGATAGTACTAAATGTAATTAATATACATATTCAGTTTTTTTTATAGAATCTAATATATTTATTCCGTAAGAGCTAGACGAATCTGCATGAAAGATATTGAATGAAATCGTTAAAAAAAGTTAACACTTGTATTGCTGATATGTCTTTAACTTTATTTACCTCAAACTTCAACAGCATTTTTTATCTGTTAGTCTACCAATTAACCCTGCTACTCCTAACAGGGTATGGGCCGTCAACCATAGGTATCCGACCAACACCTTTCAGGTGTCTTTTTTCCACTTGTTCTCAACTGCTAATCATATTTGTCATGTCTGACTCAAAGTCTCAGTACAAAGTGTTCTTTGATCTTCCTATTTTCCTTCTAACTTCGGCGTTTAAGTTAGGCCTTGTCTTAAGATTCAATTTGATGGTTTCCGTAAAATTTGTCCTTTACACCGTCATCAGGTTTTCTTAATTTTCTCTTCGTGTGACAACTGGTCTATTCTCTCCCAGAGAAGATTATTGCTGATGGTTTCTTGCTAACGAACCTGAAGTTTTACATTTGGTTTTAAATACATCTTAGTTTTTGCCTTCGTACGGTGACCAAGATAATTCTGAAAAGTATTGGAAGACTGTTGGAGAGTTGAATGAGATGCTTGATTACAAATCAGATGAAATGGCTGTTCGAACATTTTTAGTTCTGTGATCTAGTCAAGACCCAATAGATTGAAGGATTCATCAGTAACATAGCACTTGGATCTAATTATTTGATCAATAAATTTAACAATACACTTGATAATTCCGGAAATTATAATTGGGATGCCCGATGCATTCTTTAAGCAGTCGGTAGTAGGATGAATGCTTGGCCGACCATGATCCTGCTAAGTTTGCCAGAAATTAAAGTGACATCAGATCAGTGTTCGACTGCAAAGTGATAATACGATCATTAACATTAATGGGTAAATACTTGCGTAAGTATTGGGGATTAGATTTCGACAGTGTATGTACACAACTGGTCCCTTTTGGCATTCGACAATGGGTTGAGGATTTACTGCATTTGCAAGATTCCTTCTTATGGCCCGTTACTCAACATTTTGCGCAATTATGTCTACTAAATGGACAGAAACCGGAGAATTGCCATGCTACAGTTTCAACAACTAGTGGGAGGCCTTGTAGAGCGACGTGAATTAGAGTCATGGGCATTATACGTTCGATTTAGGCGAGGAAAATTTTGCAAATCATGCTTCTCGACATAAATAGTGCGATGTGTATGAAAAACTTATCAAATCAAATGAATTGGGAGTTGGACGTTCGGTCATTTTAGTCTCATTATTAAGATTAATAATATGACGACATTCATTTGTAACACCTTTTAGCGTAATAGGGGGATCTGAATTGATTGCGCTTAAAGTTCCATTATGAATATCTGAGTCTGACGATGCTTGCAACCCGCATACAAAGATAAGGCCCTATAATTTTTCGTCCGAAAGAGAATGCAACTTAAAACTTCCGCATCGTTTATTAACAGATACTGAATATGAGACAAAATAACCTTCATGTCTCTTAACTGTTCTAAAACAATTATATGGCAAATTAAATAAAGAAGTCTGATTAGTAAAGATTTATGTACGATAGAATCAAAAGAAAGATCGTTGGGTTTTTCGATGAGATAGAGTTCGATTAATTTTCATGTTCCGCTGCTTCATGCTTACGTAATAGAATTCTCTCTCACCTTCGAAAAATCATCATGGTGAGAAAACTCAACTTGGGAAATATCTTCATACATAGTGAACCATGATTCACATGTAATACCAGCCTCAGGATCAAGATGAAACCCGCCGATTGAAATGACCTGTGATTCGGTAGTTGAGCCACCTACTTCGGGAATTTGTGCTGAATTATCTTAAAATGAAAACTTATGTTATCATTTAGGTCATATTAAATCGTGATGCTGCTGTAAAATTGTCTTAAGATGATCAGCCGAAACTGACTTTCGCGTGAGTTTGGCAAAAATAACGTCGTCAGAAACTGTTGTGACGGGCGATGTTCAGAATTTGATACCGATACGTATACTACATGCTAACCCTCCAAATGACTTGAGCAGGAATAGACGAGTGAGTGAGAAAGTATCTTGGCCTACCGAATAAAATGTTTAAATACTCATTTATGTATAAACAACTATAATTTATAGACGACCTTTGAGCGACGCTGGAGTGACCTTGAAAGCGAACAATTGCTAATTAGGACTAAATGAGAGTTATAAAACAGGATTCTCATTTATAGTTGGTAGTTAGAGTTAAAAATTAGATTTAGGGTTTTCATCACTAACTGACACGAGCTAGAATGCCAAAACTCTATTTAGCCAAATGTATGAATGAATTCCGCGCCCGAATTCGTGACTCATCTTATATCTGATTGGTTAGTCTATAAATAATCGTCTCGCCACCCCGTGACGCAATTATAGCCGGTGTTTTCCATCCCAACCTTTGCACTTTGCTTCCCCATCACGATTATATCTTTTCCTGGGACTACAGCCTCTTACGAAACTTAATCGCATTCCGTGCTTTCGTCGGTGTGTGAGTAGCATTCAGTAAATTTCATTGTAATCCCTTCCTTCTGGATAATGCTGTAATGATCCCAGGGCCATGGGTTCTTCATCTTATAAGTGACTTTTGTACAAACTTTGTGAATGTGACGGATTTTCTTCTTTATGACCAGAATACAATAGCAGCACTGTTGAAGTCAGTATTTCTGACACAGATTGTGTTCAACAGGTTTCACTTATTGCAAGTGCAATCTGGTTGTATCTTTACATTTGTAGGACCCTAGCGGTTCCCCATATCGTTCGGACATTCCGCGTCCCAATGTTTATTGTTACTCTAATCGACAATAGAGCGTCGGCTTTTGGCTCCCGAACAATCCAGCCTTCATCATGAGAAGTCATAAACACTACATACAAAAACCCTTAACTCCCAGTGCTGAGTTTAACTGGCCTTCTCTGGTTAGTGTTTTGGTAGCCGGGTTCGTTTTTATGGGGTTTTATTGCACACCCTCCTGCTTTTCCGGGGATTGAGACAGGCCGTAACTACTCAGTGGCTCCATGCAAGTCTTTCTTCTCAGAACATTATTTAATCGCGGACCAATAACTTCTGAGACTTTGGAGTTGTTACAACTTGTGGCATAGGTGAGTTAACAGCCGTATCCGTAAGTTGTCTGAAAAGTTCAACTGGCTCTTTTTGAAACGCTGCTGCTGTCGCTCAAATAGCAACTGTAATTGGTCGGAAGAGATAACCATTTTCTGAACCAGCACGGTAATGAAAAATACTGTATGACGAATTAACAACCAATGTCTTCCAAGGACACCGATGACAAATCTGGATGCTGATTGCTCAAAATAATTGGACTGAAATTCGTCCAATTACCCCGTCGCCAATTTTTATAACTTTTGACCTGTTTGCCATGTTTATTGTATAATGTAACGGTACCGCCAATCAGAGAGCAGTGAGTTATCGATCGGACCAGTGACGCATAAAACCAAGTACGAGCAGTCTCGAGTCCTTATTGCTCCTGCTTTCCGCCTAGCTCAAATGGTTTAATGTTTCAGCCTGATGAATTGAGGATCGATCAACAATATCAAATGATCAAAGGTTTTCAATTATTATAATGAGTATTTTGCCTTAAAACTCACTTCGCCTCATTTTTAAGCTCCAATATCGACCTGAGCTTATGTGATATTTAACTATGTTCCTTTATTTGTAGAACATTTCCCTCAGTCTTTTCATTATTAATTAATTAATTAATAAAATTCCGAAAGGAATTAAGTGAAATTCTATTTTTAAGATTAGAGGTCCTAGG